CCTGGCTGTCATTCAATCTGCTCGAAGAAGGGATTTCTTGAAACTGAACCAAGGTTTAGGTGAACTACACGGAGAGGCGACGCGGACGGTGGCTGGAGGCAAGGGATAAATACAATGCCTGGTGATCGTCCGTGGTCTCCAAAGCCAGATTACGGGACCGGGGTCACAATCGATGAGACCCTGACCCTGTCAAGCTTCTAGGTGAATGGTAATGACAACCCAGCGGAGCGGCTGTTTGGTCTGTGGATAACTGACTAGGGACAAGTTGCTAAAGACAAAAAGGGGGATACGTGACCATGGACCCGAATCCATCGACCAGCACCGATGACCCCCCCCCCACCTCGGCGAAGGGCGAGGGGCGAGTATCGCGCCAATTTCCGTGGAATGGGATACCTAGCTGTCCCGACGCAGTTTAATATCTCTCATCGGATAAAATGGAAGTATCAATTACCAACCTCTGTCTATGGCAAGCCTCCCATTGCATCCTGTGAAGACCGCACCAAGCGCCAAGGCCGTTACCGGCACCTACACTCTGTAGAGCAAATTTCTTCGCTAAATAGCTTTAGACGCCCCGACTTTCCCCTCCCACCTGTCACACTACTACGTAGGGGCTGAAAGCCCATGAATAAAGGCTTGAGGCATCAACTCAAACGTGAAAAGGGAAGGTGGCTGCCACGAGGGCGGTTCGAGCTAAAGATTGACGAACTATTACTAAACGACTAGACCAAACCTTAGTTATGCCAAGAGACATTCTGATTGGAGCTTGTGGACAGGGAGGCAAAACACCAAAAATGATCGGTCAGGAGGACGTAGGTAAGCTGACCATAGGGGGGGCTGACATGTTAGTTATTGAATCTATTATAGTTTATCCGCGTCCCAGGGCTGCTGAGAGCTACATCGGGTTGCGGCAGTGCCACTATGCCAGCTGCCTGACAATTATGTCTCCATCTTTATATCCGTACGTGGAACTTTTTCAGCCTCGGTATCCACAGTCCACGTTGTGGGTTCGCGCTAGCCTAAAGCTAGTTACGTCAGACGCTACACAATCGGTGTCTGGCTGCTCTTGGCTATTACTACGTGGGTTCTCTTCTAGAATGTTCGGAACTTTGTTCTTCCTTCCTAGTACAAGGCAAATCTCGTTCCGTTACTGTTGGGACTTTGGAGAAAGGAGACGATGATATGCCCCGACGTAAGCGTTCGACGTGGTATCTAGGGGACATCAGCCGTTGGATCCGACATGTGGAAAATAAATGCGATTGCCCGGTAGGGCATGTTAGTGGCGGCGCCACCATACATACAGACACTTGCCTGCTTTCTGACCTGTCAGGTTTGACAGATTCTCGGCTGTTTAATAAAAAAACTGTTATTGAAAAACACGACTGGCTGTTCAAGGCGCATGCGTTTCAACATCGTTGTAAAGTTTTTGATATAAGCCGGCAAAAGGAGACTCCAGTCGGGACAGCATGTTGCGGAGCCACTCTTCAGACCCCACCAACGCATTCCACAGTTGTGTTGATCCCGTGTCCGTAGGACATGCCACACACATTGTGCCCTGGAAGTGGAGCCACGATTCGCCGACTGACAGCATGCGAAACGGATTACAGCCCCCCTGCTCTGTATGGCTTAGGCAGACAGCTTGAAGGCAGCCACGGGTTCGTCGGTGACAAGAATTGTTAGCTGGAGTCCACCACGTTTTCTAAGCCTTGCAGTATGCTGTGCCATCTCTTCTTCAACGGAGATTCGGTATGCGAACCCTGCAATCAACGTCCACGGTGACTGATGGAAACAGGGGAAAGGTGTGTAAGGATATCTTGTTGAGAATGAGTTTCCGGGCTGTGATTTGCTGACATGAAGCCCTGGCGAGGCCCTTAGCCAGCGCTTAGCCAGCGCACTTGCAGGGCATAGTATCCAGGCCTGGACTGTCGCAATGGGGCTAATGCCCAGTTACGTTAGCTTCTTGCTTGCTAGCGTTCAGCCGCACTGCAGGGGACTTACCCAATCAGCCGACCCTCCGCGATGATATCCTCAACATGGAATGTTTCGGTTGCTTACTAGGCGCGCGGTATGTGCGGTAACCCAGAAGAAATTCCTTGCGAGGACAGGCGTTCCCTGTGCATGATATCCCATACAGGCCTCTATCTCCCCGTGATGCATCCTCGAGCCGACTGTTGAGTCGCCTCGGTGTACTCCGTAATGGCAGGACACATAATCCACGGGCCTTTCATCTAAACATCGACCAATTGAGGAACAGAATTTGCAAAAAGAATGGTGCGGGTACGGTCGACGAGGATGCTGAGCTGAAAAGCTTCCGTGCCTCCTTGGGCAAGGCGCTGAAACCGAAGAATTGCGAATGTTGGTGGCGTGAGATATCAAGGTACGCTAGAGCTTGCGCCATGATCAAGCATGTTATTCTTCAATGTGACGATGGTTTTCTTCGGCAGTGGACTTCTATCTAGCATTCTAGCCACCGCAAAAAGTCATAGATGAGTAGACAAGGTACACGCCACACTTTGTTGTATGACTTCAAAAGAACCGCAGAGAACTAGAGCTACGGCAAAATGCATCGGTAATTGCTTGTTAGTACATACAAAGCCAACCACGGCAGAGTATCAATAGAGTACATGCTATTTCTAGAGCGATAAACATCAATCTTTGCAAATGTATGAATTGCCATGGCAGGCATAGGCTTGCGCTTCAAAGAAAAAATTGAAAAAAAAATTATCTAAAAAAAAAAAAAAAAAAGGGTCTAGGACATCACCGAACCATTCATCTAACTTTTCCCCAATAAGTATGTCATATCGAGTAAATTGCATGTCTTTCCAAATTGTGGAAAGGATAGACTTGCTACGCCATTCGCGGGTGCGCCGTCCACGATTTTGGTTAGCTTGTCATTTGAGTTTCGTGTCATTACGATCATCGAAAAAAGACGCAAAACTATGCCTAGTCAGGTTCACATCTCAAACACAATCGACATGGCGATTCCATAGCGATCCCGAGTCAGATGAATACTCAGCTCGTCTGTTTGAGGAGTCTGTGAAAATGAACTGTCTGCCTGTTTAGGCATACAATCGTCTGGCAATGGGATTGTAAATTAATTCGAAGGGTGTTTATGTATGCTAATGACGACAACAATCCAAATAGACATGATCGTATTTTGACTAATTTGATGCATGATCAGTGGTGTCAATGATGGTTTGTTTTTGTTCATTTGCTTAGACCACATGGTTTTGTTTTTGCCGGTGAGTTCGAGAGGGAATATGGCGTGGATGAACCGTGCAGCGCGTGCATGCATGTGTGCTTAGGTATCCGTACTCTCACTAGACTCTGAGTAATTTAGACTACCTTACAGGGCTGTTGCTGCTCATCGCAGATGGCCAACGCTGTCAAAAGCTTTCCAATACAATCCACAATCATCAAATTAGCCTTTGCATCCGAATGCATCTCGATACCGACTGATCCAGTTCCCACTAATAACACAAATGCAACTCCCCAAGCTCCCAGCGAAAGCTGCATACCTCCGTCTGAGGAACCCGGCGAAACGCAATGCACTGAGTCTTGAAGTTCTGGAGGATCTCCGCACACAGCTGCTGTCGCACCTTACGTCACGAGCGACGGGTAGGGTCTTGACTCTCCCTGCTTTCAAACCCTCCATCTTATCCGATCTCGAAACTGCGAGTCATCATGTCCAACCGGGATCAGGCGGTTCATCGAAGCATCGCTGGCTTGTTGATGCCGGAGAGTGGAAGCGTGAGAGGGAGGGTTTGCCTAATGTGCTCGTCCTCCGCAGCTCAGGCCCCGTCTTCTCCTCGGGCCATGACTTGACGCAGATCGCATCTCTATCCCATGCCGAAGTGAAGCGCACATTCGCCCTTTGCGCCGAGATTATGTCTCTCATACGGCATAGCCCGGCACCCGTCGTGTGTCCCATTCAAGGTCTCGCAACGGCGGCCGGGCTGCAGCTCGCACTGTCGACGGACTATCCCATTGCCCTCTCCACGACCAAGCTCCAGCTACCTGGTGCTAGTATCGGCCTCCCGTGCACAAGCCCCACCGCCGCCGTATCCCGTCGTCTCCCATCGGGCCAAGCCTACAGGCTTCTTCTTTCCGGGGAAGCAGTCTTGGCAGACGAGATGCGGGGTGCGGTGGATGTGGTGCATACTCCCGAGCATGCAGAGTCCACCGACACGGCCGCCGCAGCTTTCGAGGGCCGTGTAGCGGAGATAGTGGAGCGGTTGGCCAGGTCTGCAGGGCAACCTATGGCTCTTGGAAAGTGGGCGTTTTGGACACAGCTCGGCATTAGAGGCGACGGTGTTGACGAGGGAGGAGGAGATGGGTACGAAGACGCCGCAAGCTGGGCCGCCCGGGTTATGACGTTACATGCGCAGAGTGTTGATGCAAAAGAGGGTGTGTCAGCTTTTGCTCAGAAACGAAAACCGGTATGGCAGACATAACCTGCCTCCACGGTCGACCAGGCCCCGCTCAACAGAAAGCCTTGATAAAAGATCAAAACTCATAATGAACATCCATCGCGATTCAAGATGCAACAGTGACCAGCGCGGGGCTCGACCCCGCAGCCTTTGGGTAGCTATTGAACGAAAGTCTAAGCTGAAGCTTGACACGGGCAGTTTGCAATTGACTATGCGACAGCCAGGAATTAAGTGGAATATCTCAGTCAGCACCAGGTAAGAACCGCCCGCGGACATCGTCAGCGGTATATCGATACATCAATGTGTTTCAGGAGAAGAGCGAAGTCTGTAATCCAGTCACCTTTGCATACTCAACGCTAGAAGCCATAAAAGACATTAGCAGTAATACAAAACTTGACCAAAGGTCTGTATTTATTTTAAACCCTCTATTGTATACACTATATATTAGTAGCCTAATAAGTCCTCCAGCGCTCTCTCATTCTTTCCACTTTTGCATACACCTTGCGTTTTGTAGCCATAACAAGCATAACAGCCGCGAAACATCATAAATCCAAGAAGCAACAAAAGAAAACGTGACCAACGCGGGGCTCGAACCCGCAACCTTCAGATACCATTTAGATAGAAGTCTGAAGCGCTACCATTACGCCAGCCGGCCAATCCGCTGGATTTATCGTCAACTTCGGGCCACTGCGGAAGTGTGGTGGATTTAACAACGGCTAATGGAAGGCGGCCAACTCTGCGCCATAAGGTAATTCAGTAACCGCCCAACGTTCACATTGCTGGCAGGTCAATAGGGTTATATGATTTTGTCTGGTTTTAACCGAATAGTCGTTATTCCTGAGATAGGCCTTGAGTCTAGTACTCTTAGCTAGATGCTGTTCTACGATTGCTGCGTCTCTAAACAAACGTCACAACATTTACGAGTGCTAAACCAATGTCCTCAGCTCCGAAACTCACATATCTAATGGGAACATCAAGAACAACAAAACATATGGCCGTGCTGTTCAATTGACCAGTACCATTACTGAAAAGGGTGTGGTAAAGTGTGGAAATTAAGCTGTGAGTATTGGGATCCAGACAGATTCTTGTTATGTACCAGATTCTTGTTATGTACAAGTTAGTGGTAATTTGATACATCTACGAAGTTTATTGAGCATAGTTGACTTGGCAGAAGAAGACTTCCGCTATTATCCTCCATCATGCATTAGGACTGCAGCTTGAAATCACGTGGCGAAGAAATGTGGAACATGCAGTCGTACTCTCATGTCAGCCGCAATTGACGCGACCCCTCAACTTCCCGCCACACTCCACACGATTTGCAATGAGCACTACTACAACATCAATGCCAACACTATGTGAGGAGTGCTCCGCCATAAGGTATGACGTCGAGCGAGGAGATGCTATCGGTGCACAAGATTCATCACGGCCATGGGAGCGAACAGATACATATCCCGATCTGCCCAAACTCAGAGCGTCTGCCTCAGCAGGCTGTACATTCTGTGAACTTCTGTGCTTTATGCTGAGAGAACGCCTGCCCGTTCCATATGTTCGCGAATTGGAAACAACAGCAGCGAAAGATGTGATGATCACCCTAGGCTCACCAGCCTATGTGAGGCGCTCTCATGTTACAGAATATACTCGCGATTCGGAACCTGATAGGTACAAGAATGAAAGAGACGGAATCTACTGGCTTAGAATGATCTTTGAGTCATCTGCGTGGTCATATGCCTGGAATGTGACGGCTCTGGCATACGGACGAGACGGTAGGCTTTCACCACGCTGACGCCTCCTCACACGATAAACCATCGACATTGACAGGGTCTACACAGATGCCGTCTCGGACTATCTCGGAATAAACTTGCGGATGCCCGTCAGGAATGTTCTTGACGAAGCATGCATAGGCCTGCTGAAAGATTGTGTCGCGCGTTGTCTTAACGAGCACACTGAGTGCAAGTTGTTTGTGCCAAGGAGCCTTCCTACGAGACTCATTGACGTAGGTGACCGAGATGACACAACTGCTCGCTTGATCACCAGCAAGTCTTTACAACCATCAACGCCTTATATCGCCCTGAGCTACTGCTGGGGCCCGCCTTCTCGGTCAAAACCGCAGCTTGTCACCACCACCAACTCGTTTCCGAAGCACCAGAAAGCCATAAGTCTGGCTGACATGCCCCAGACCATTCGGGACGCCGTCATTCTCACGCGCCACATGGGAATCAAGTACATTTGGGTAGACGCACTCTGCATCATTCAAGACGACGCCGAGGATTGGGCTAAGGAAGCGGCTTTGATGTTTGCCGTTTACCGGTATGCAACTATCACTGTAGTCGCAGCTGCAGGGGATACATGCCACTCAGGCTTCCTGCAGAGAAAGGGTCCTGGACCGTGTGCAATTGTCCCGTTTCAGTCGAAAACGGACGGCGTTGAGGTGACTGGATCATATCTACTTTCACACATGAGGGAACGTCGCACGTGGGACGCCGACTATCCGTCTCATATGCATCAACGGTCTTGGGCGACACGAGCCTGGACTTATCAAGAAGACATCATGTCTACTCGAGTCTTGTACTTTGACAACGTCACTTCGTTCTTCCGATGCCAGACCGAGCGACGTCTAGAGCACAGCATCACGTCATACACCAACGTGTTCAGCTGGAACAAATCACTTTCCCCCGCCGCTAAAGAGGTCTCCGCGGAGGAGGAGCTGACTAAAAGGAAAGCGAGTCTATATGAAAAATGGGGCGACCTGGTCAATGAATACTCTAGGCGTAAGCTCACGGTTCCGGACGATAAGCTGCCCGCAATTGCTGGTTTAGCTCGTACCTTAGGCTCCGCACTTGAAGATCAATACGTGGCTGGGCTCTGGAAAAACGATCTGATACGTGGAATGCTGTGGTTGACCGACTTTGAAGCCACCAAACCGGCGAGGTGGCGGGCCCCGTCCTGGAGTTGGGCTTCATGGGACGCGGATTTGGGTTTGACTCTCAAACACTCGCTGCCACTCGTCAAACAGTGTTTTATAGAGGCTGTTCATGTCGTGGAAGCTGGGCCTGACCCATTTGGCAGGGTCAAGGACGCGTGGATGATTCTATCTGCAGCGTGTGTTCCGGTCACGGTCCAGAAGGTACCAGAACCCGAAACCGAGAGAGACACGTACCTCGCAGAGCTGCGGTTGCCTGACGATAGAGATGTCGTGGCTTGGGGGTCCTTTGACGCCGTGACAACATCAGGGATCAGGAATGAAGGGAATTGGAGGCCGCCGGATGTCGAGCCGTTTGTTGGAATGAACGGCATCTCAGCGGTCGTGCTGGCACTGTGTTGCATTCCTCTAGAGGTTGACGACGACACTGGCAAAAAATACTCAGCGCCACTTTTCCCGACGGGCCTTCTGGTCACCAAATCCAAGGACCGCCGAGGCAGCAACTCACCAGAGAGATATGAGAGAATCGGGCTGTTTAGGACAGACAGCACAGAGCAGGCTAAGGCTTGGAAAAGGTATCCTCGCACCACGATAAAGCTTGTCTGAAACGCAGTTGACTAGTTCGAGTTCAGGATGTCAAGTCTTGTTCAAACTTTTGGAGTTAAACGGCCTCACACACAAATCAGAATAAATCAGAATATGATTTCTTATAATTAAGGCCTACAAAAACTCCGGACTGACGTGATATTTATAAATACTGTATTTTCCCCTTCTATTAACGTAGCTTTCACATCAAACCATTGAGCTTTTAAAGAAGAGCTTGGCCCTCAGACTTTCCAGGGCCCAGATTCTAGTTACGCCAACGGCTTTACCTTCACATACTTACTGCTTTTGAAAAATAAATCCAACAGTATTGTGGCAATTCACTGATAAATGTGTACTTCCAGTGAGCTTTACAGAGTTCGTCTAGCTAATAGCCTACAGCTCCTATTCAAAGAAGCCAATGACACAACCTTGGCTTATCTTTGTACCTGTCGGGAAGGACCAAGCACTCGAATGGCTTTGCGTTCCAATTGATGTCGCTGATCCTGTCAACCTCGAAGGTCGACACATTCTGTAAGTAGGACATATAATCCTCCAAGGATGAGCTTCTTACTCCAAGTCTTCTCCCTGAGGTTATATCCATCAACTATGGGGTCAGCCAATTGTAAGTGAAGATTTGAAAGCCGCTGTCGTGCAGTTTCAACAATGACTTCACAGTCGTCGCTCTGCGCTGTCAAACATATCGTCAGCTGAATTAAAATGGTTGATACTTTCGAGAGTATTATTACATACTGCTTCTTACTGAAACAGTTCGGTTTCTTTGCCTCTTCTGAACGGGATCCATAATAGGATGTATGATCCGACTCGGGGAATGGTGATCCAGCTTCCGGAACCGACGACGACCGCCTCGGGGCCTGGAATCCCACTCGTCCACATACTCTTCAAGAGGTATGTGTACACGGCTCGCTGATGGCAAGTCGATAAGAGATCGATTAATCAAAGAAGTCCATTTCGGGAATAACTTGTGGGTATCGTCACTGATAACTGCTGCGAGGTACTGTCGGCGATGACTGCTGTCAATCATCACTTGCAACTCCGTGTTTGCATCTCGACCTGGGGGTGGTACGCTTTATAGTTTGTCCCAGCAATACCAGCGATCCTGAGTCCCCTCTTTGTAAGTTTCTCTTGCATTCCTGCCAAGTCGTCGAGGTACCTGGCCGGGAACGCAGGCAAACTGTATATGTGACGAGTTCCTAGGAAGTTCTCAATTGAAATCTCATCGGTAACCGTACCAAAATTCTGGGAGATCCGACTCCAAGTAACGAAGTTCAGACCAAGATCAATTGCATCTTGATCACGAGTCCAAAAGCACTACTGGAATTTATAAAGTCGGTCGTGACCGCCGCTCCTTGTGTAGATGAGCTCTCCGGGCGGAAACAAGGTCCATCAATAGTTGAAGGTGATGATGCCATGTGCGGCAAGCTCTTTGCTGACAGCGAATGCGCCTGCTAGCTCGCGTTAGACTATTCGGCTCAATACGGCCAGAATTCTCTTGACTGTTGCGTCTTGCTCCTCCATAATGAACTTCTCAAAAGTGTCCCAGCGACAGAAAAGCGGATCCGTAATTGCCACTACGCAATTACAGCTTATATCACGACATATCATCAAAGGCTGGAACACTTCAATGATTACCTTCCGAGCCGCTGCATGGTGGACTTCGATCAAATGAATCGAAACTTACTCTGCCGCTTTGGCTTGGGTTGACGCGACGTCGGATAACAATGGGGCTGTCATCTTCATTATCATCGTCGGGTTTGTTAAGTTCAGTGAGTGCAACACCTTGAGGGCATTCGGTCATCCAATCAATGCAACATTATAACTTTCTCGAGCCTTAGTAAAGATCCTGGACAGTAGCTTCTCGGTCTTGTTGACTCATCTCGACTTTTTCGATTCGTATAGCATCAGCTAGGCGCTTGATGACCGAGAATTCCTCATTGGCTGTCAAATTATCGGTGATTCCAAGCCCAGTAGACATAGCAGACATTGTCTTTTTTGACGCTCCTGACTAGATGGAAAATCGCAGAGTAAAGAATGAGGAGCTTGAAGGATTTGTAAATGAGATTTGGTAGGTCTCTCGGTGTCTGGACGATAGATAGGGCTGCACGGTAATTTGTGGAAAGGCTGAGCCATAT